CCAAATTTATTTATTTATTTATCGTGTCAGGAGCAACCAGACATTTCTATTACATTTTTAACAAAACAAACAAACAAACAAACAGACAAAACACAATTTTTGCAAGCTTGAGGGTTGGTTAAATGTCCTTTGACCAGTATCCGGCCACTTGGAGTGCCTCTGCTGTTGCCGCAAGGAGGTCCTCCATTGTGCTATATTTTATTTATTTATCGTGTCAGGAGCAACCAGACATCTGTGTAACATTTTTAACAAAACAAACAAACAAACAAACAGACAAAACACCAATTTTGCAAAATTAGTGGTTGGTTAAATGTCCTATGACCAGTATCTGGCCTCTTGGAGTGCCTCTGGTGTGGCAAGGAGGTCCTCGATTGTGCATGTGGCAGGACTCAGGTTGCATTGTAGCAGGTGGTCAGTGGTTTCCTCTTCTCCACACTCGCATGTCATGAATTCCACTTTGTAGCCCCATTTCTTAAGGTTGGCTCTGCAGTCTCTTCGTCGCCTTCCAAGTTGCCCAGTCTTCTGTGTGCCCAGGGGGGAGTCTCTCATTTGGTATCAGCCATTGGGTTTGAGCCTGCCATTTTTGGACTCTCGCTTGCTGGGGTGTTCCAGCGAGTGTCTCTGTAGATCTTAGAAAACTATTTCTTATGTTGTTGACGTGCTGGCTGATACCCAAACAGGGGATGTCACTGCCTTGGTCCTTTCACCATTGGTTGCTACTTCCTGGCGGATGTCAGGTGGTGCAATACCGGCTAAGCAGTGTAATTTCTCCAGTGGTGTAGGGCGCAGACACCCCGTGATAATGCGGCATGTCTCATTAAGAGCCACATCTACTGTTTTAGCGTGGTGAGATGTGTTCCACACTGGGCATGCATACTCAGCAGCAGAGTAGCATAACGCAAGGGCAGATGTCTTCACTGTGTCTGGTTGTGATCCCCAGGTTGTGCCAGTCAGCTTTCATATGATATTATTTCTAGCGCCCACCTTTTGCTTAATATTCAGGCAGTGCTTCTTGTAGGTCAGAGCACGATCCAGAGTGACTCCCAGGTATTTGGGTGCGCTGCAATGCTCCAGTGGGATTCCTTCCCAGGTCATCTTCAGAGCTCAGGATGCTTGTCTGTTCTTAAGGTGAAAAGCACATGTCTGTGTTTTAGATGGGTTAGGGATCAGCTGGTTTTCCCTGTAATAGGCAGTAAGGGCACCTAGAGCTTCGGAGAGCTTCTGTTCAACCATCTCAAAGCTCCCTGCTTGAGCAGTAATGGCACGATCATCAGCATAGATGAAGCTCTCTGTCCCTTCTGGCAGTGGCTGGTCATTTGTGTAGATGTTGAACATGGATGGAGCAAGCACGCTCCCCTGAGGCCGGCCGTTCTTCTGTTTCCGCCATCTGCTTCTCTGGCCCTGGAACTCAACAAAAAAGCTCCTGTTTTGTAGCAGGTTTCCTATGAGGCGGGAGAGGTGGTCGTCTTTTGTGATATTATACATTTTTCTCAGGAGGAGGCGGTAGTTTACAGTATCATAAGCCACTGACAGGTCTATGAAGACACCCCAAATTGAAAATGGTGGATGAATGGGATAAGAAGAAGGGATGAACAAGGAGGAAATCGGCACATGTTTAAAATGGTTTGGTTAATAGTAAAGTGGAGAACGTGCCCCTCCAGTGTCACTACATTGATGTTCTGTGTGGGAAGTTCGACTCAATTATTTCATTGTTGGGGGTTCAGAATGCTCTTTTATTATATAAAAGAAATATAAATCCCAGCAACTACAACTCCCAAATGTCAAGTTGTACTTTCCCCAAACTCCACCATTCACATTTGGGCATATTGAATATTCATGCCAAATTTGGTCCAGATGCATCACTGACCATCAGAAAACACATTATTTTGTGATGCTCATGGGTGTTCTTCAAACGTACCCTGCTCTCAACCATTCCTTGAATCTCACTTTGAAAGGTGCCCAGATCCTTCAACCATTCCTCGGTTCTCACCTTGAAAGGTGCCCAGATCCTTCAACCATTCCTCAAATCTCACTTTGGAAGGTGCCCAGATCCTTCAACCATTCCTCAAATATCACCTTGAAAGGAGCCCAGATCCTTCAACCATTCCACAAATCTCACCTTGAAAGGTGCCCAGATCCTTCAACCGTTCCTCGGTTCTCACCTTGAAAGGTGCCCAGATCCTTCAACCATTCCACAAATCTCACCTTGAAAGACGCCCAGATCCTTCAACCATTCCTCAAATCTCACTTTGAAAGGTGCCCAGATCCTTCAACCATTCCTCGAATCTTACCTTGAAAGGTGCCCAGATCCTTCAACCATTCCCCAGTTCTCACCTTAAAAAGTGCCCAGATCCTTCAACCATTCCACAAATCTCACTTTGAAAGGTGCCCAGATCCTTCAACCATTCCTCAAATTTCTCTTTGAAAGGTGTCCAGATCCTTCAACCATTCCTCAAATCTCACCTTGAAAGGTGCCCAGATCCTTCAACCATTCCTCGAATCTCACCTTGAAAGATGCCCAGATCCTTCAACCATTCCTCAAATCTCACCTTGAAAGGTGCCCAGATCCTTCAACCATTCCTCAAATCTCACCTTGAAAGGTGCTCAGATCCTTCAACCATTCCTCAAATCTCATCTTGAAAGGTGCTCAGATCCTTCAACCATTCCTCAAATCTCACCTTGAAAGGTGCTCAGATCCTTCAACCATTCCTCAAATCTTACCTTGAAAGGTGCCCAGATCCTCCAACCATTCCTCAAAATCTCATCTTCAAACTATCCCTCAAAGAGCTTGGCTTCCACTCCCTTTAACATGCTGGTTGTCCTCTTCTGGACACATTCCAGGATAACAACCCTGTGATACATTTTGTGTGGATGTATATTTACACAAGTTGAAATAAAAGCAGGATGGGCTTCATCTCACAAACACCATCTTAAGCAAAGGATGCCAAAGTTAACCTTCAGGACAGCTCCCAGATTTTGGAAGGGAGAGCTTAAGATGGGGGCTGGCCTCTCCACGACCAAGGTTTTGTCCCTTCGCTCCACAAGGAGTCAAAGCCATTTGTTTCCTTGGACGAGGAGGAGGAGGCGCTGCTCTGTCTTCCCCCATTTATCTTTAGTGATCTGTCACGACCTTTTCAAGCTCTTATTTCTGACAGCTTCCAGATACAAGTGAGTCAAACTTCCCTGGAAGGGAAACTATCACCCCCAGATAGTTTGCTCAAGAGCAGCAAACATGCAGACCGCTGCCCTCCCTCCGCCGCCAGCTTATAAATCCTCCCTTAACAAGACAGCGCAATAAAAAACAAACACAAAAACAAAAAAGGGATGAAGAAGGGGAAGAGAGAGAGAGAGAGAGGGAAAATAAATGTGCTGTTGAAGGTTTTCATGGCCAGCGTCACTAGGTTGCTGTGAGTTTTCCGGGCTGTCTGGCCATGTTCCAGAAGCATTCTCTCCTGATGCTTCACCCACATCTACGGCAGGCATGCTCAGAGGTTGTGAGGTCTGGTGGAAACTAGGCAAGTGGGGTTTATATATCTGCGGAAAGTCCAGTTTGGGAGAAAGAACTCTTGTCTGCTTGAATGTTGCAATTGGCCAGCTTGATTAGGATTTAATGGCATAGTAGATTCAAAGCTGGGCTGCTTCCTGCCTGTTGTTGGGAGGTGTTAGCTGGCCCTAATTGATTCCTGTCTGGAATTGCCCTGTTTTCTGAGTGTTGCTCTTTATTTACTGTTCTGAAGTTAGTGTTTTTAAAATACAGGTAGCCAGATTTTTTTCATTTTCCTGGTTTTCTCCTTTCTGTTGATATTGTCCACATGCTTGTGTATTTCAATGGCTTCTCTGTGTAATAATAATAATAATAATAATAATAATAATAATAATAATAATAATACTTTATTTATACCCCGCCACCATCTCCCCAAGGGACTCGGAGCGGCTTACATGAGGCCAAGCCCAACAACAACAATGTAGTCAATTAGGGCCAGCTAACAACTGCCAACAAAAGATTCCCTCAGGAAATTTGGGCATATTGAGTACTAGCCATCCCCTGCCACAAGTTGCTGTGGCCCAGTCTGTTGATCTGGAAAATAAAGTCACAAGAAAGTGCTGATTTCTAATATATGTAATTTCTTTCTACTTGTGGGTAAACAGTATTTCTTGTTGTTTCTTTGTCAGTGTTGATGTGGACATTATCTGGTTTGTGTACTCTGGAACATGCAACATATAATTGTCCTTCTTTAGGGGTCGCTTTCAAATCTAGGATACTATATCTGTCATATGCATATATGTGTGTGTATGAATCATATATTGATTGTAGGTGAACTATAAATCCCAACAATTACAACTCCCAAATGACAAAATCATTTTTTTCCATTGATGGTCACTCCTTGGGGTAGTAGGTGTCTTGTGTCCAAATTTGGTGTCAATTTGTCCAGTGGTTTTTGAGTTATGTTAATCCCACAAACGAACATTACATTTTTAATAATATAGATTTGTGCCAAATTTGGTCCACATCCATCATTGTTTGAGTCCACAGTGTGCTCTGGATGTTGATGAACTACAACTCCAAAAGCTAAAGTCAATGGCCACCAAAACCAGTATTTTCTGTTGTCATGGGAGTTCTGTGTATCAAGTTTGGTTCAATTCCATCATTGGTGGAGTTCAGAATGCTCTTTGATTGTAGGTGAACTATAAATCCCAGCAACTACAACTCCCAAATGACAAAATCAACCCCGCCCCAATCCTACGAGTATTCAAATTTGGGTGTATGATGTATTTGTGCCAAATTTGGTCCAGTGAATGAAAACACATCCTGCATATCAGATATTTACATTACAATTCAAAACAGTAGCAAGAAGACAATTATGAAGTATCAACGAAAATAATTTTATGGCTGGGGGTCAACACAACATGAGGAACTGTATTAAAGGGTCATGGCATTGAGAAGGTTGGGAGCCACTGGTGTAGATGGAGACCAAGGCAGCCAAAGATGTTTGATTTACCTAACTGGACGTCGGTGGTGAAGCGTAGCCGGTGGATCATGCTGACTTTGAAGGACTTGTAATGGTGGCTGCTCAGCATGTCCTGAACGGTGGCGATGTCGATCTGGGGGTCCTCCTCGGCCACCTCCTCTCCCCTTGAACCTGCACCAAAAAAGGGAAAAACAAAAGGTACGTATAGATCTGGTTTGAAAAACAAAAGGTATGTAAAGATCTGGATGGCAAACAAACGAGATGTGCTTTGGGTCTCCAACTGGATCCTGAACTAAATGTAGATGCCATATAAGTCAAAGTTTCACGACACTGTTTGATCCAAACTCTGAAAGTACAGTAGAGTCTCGCTTATCTGACATAAATGAACTGGCAGAAAGTTGGATAAATGGAAATGTCGGATACTACAGAGTCTCCTACTGTTACTTGTCCAACGTGGTGCTAGATACCTAGAATACTAACAACAGGGACTCAAAGAGTTAAAGCAAGGCAACGCCTCAGGGCTAGAGGGGCCTGAGGTTCTTTGATTGTAAATCCCAACAACTACAACTCCCAGATGTCAAGGTCTATTTCCCCCAAACTCCATCTGTGTTCATATTTGGGCATATGGAATATTTGTGCCAAGTTTGGTCCAGATCCATCATTGTTTGAGCCCACAGTGCTCTCTGGATGTAGGTGAACTACAACTCCCAAACTCAAGGTCCATGCCCACCAAATCCTTCTAGTATTTTCTGTTGGTCATTGGAGTTCTGTGTGCCAAGTGTGGTTCAGTTCCATCATTGGTGGAGTTCAAAATGCTCTTTGATTGTCAGAGAACCATAAATTCCAGCAACTACAATTCCCAAATGACAAAATCAATCCCCTCCAACCCTACTAATATTCAAATTTGGGCGTACTTGAGAAGAAACGACGATGGAAAACCCAACCATGACAAAATAATGAGTTAATGCTCAAGATCTACCGACACACATAACAAGGCACTCTGAGGCACATCTGAAGAGTTCGATTAATTCTCTGCATGTGGTATACAATCGATGCCACCACTGTACACGGCTTAGATGCAGAACAAGGTTCCTACAAGTAGTAATAAAATTATGTTGCTCTTATCTTCTGGCTGTCTAGGGCCAGGGCTTTAGCACAGCAGGTAAATCACCAGCAATTATAAGATCTACCAACCAAAAGGTTTCAAGTTCGAAGCTCCGGGTCGGCATGAGCACCCGACTGTCAGCCCTGCTCACTGATTATCTAAGCAGTTCGAAAACAGCTTACAGCTGTGATTATAGAAATTAGGAACCGCGAATGCAGGGGAGGTATTTTACGACATCATAAAGAAAAAGATCAAAGAATGCCGGTGACCAAAAAGAAGGAGGAAACCCTGATGGCTCTTCATCATAGAGGAAGAAGCCACAGCACCCCCTGGATGTTCAACTGGATGGATATCAATACAACACAGTATACCTCCTTTCTGTTCTGTCTGTCTCTGTCTTGTCCCAAAAACTGGCATTAAATGTTTGCCATGTATGTGTGCTGTGATCCACCCTGAGTCCCCTTCAGGGTAAAAAGGGTGGAATATAAATAAAGTGTTGTTGTTGTATTGGGCATTTGTGCCAAATTTGGTCCAGTGGGTGAAAATACATCCTGCATATCAGATATTTACATGATGATTCACAACAGCAGCAAAATTATGAAGTAGAAACAAAAATAATGTTATGGTTGGGGGTCACCAAAACATGAGGAACTGTATTAAGGGGTTGCGGCAGTAGGAAGGTTGAGAAACACTGGACTAATGTGTCCAACTGATTTCCAAGAACCTTATTGAGTTTGGACCCGACCCAAAAAGCTCATCATTCAAGTTGGTGTGCATTTTGTTATGTTCCATAATCCACTCTGTTGAATTGTGGAGTGAGATTATTATTGGGTCTGAAGATCCTAAACGAAGCGAAAGAGGGTCAGCCATAGTTATACTTGGACGAGAGACCGCCAACGAATCCTAAGTAACGTAGGCTATATTTCTTAGGAAGGAATTGGCAAACCTACCTAGAAAACCCTAGAAAGTTTATGGGGTTGCCATAAGTCGACAGGCAAATTGAAAGCACACCCAAAGACGTTCACAATGATATATTGCAACCCTTTAATAATATTATATTATTTACTCTCTCTTCTTTTTTTTGCCATGGAAGAGTAGGCTTCCGTTATTGGAAAAAAAGATAACATCTCATTAAGCCCAAATGCCAATTATGAAAAAAGGATGTGTATATATATATTTTTTCAAAAAAAAACTTTTTACGATGTTGGATTAACACCAATTTAAAAATTACTACAACGTGACACACATACTGCTTTTTTTTTCCCACCGAGCAATTTCGACGCCAGCTGCTAATAAAGCATCTTAGCTGTAAATGATAATTCAGATGCTTTTAGATAAAGTGGTGCGTGGATACGGCTGGGAAAATTGATTTAGCTCCTCGCCGAAGACACGAGGGGAAGAGTGACACATTTTGTTTAATACGCCCGCTAATGTAGTCCTAAAAGCCGCAACAACCGCCCATTTCGCCCGCTCTAAATTTTGCCGGGAGAGATTAATGAAAAGTTTTGAGATTTATTTTCCTTTTTTTAAAAAAAAAATAAAATAAAATAAATGAGAAGATGGGATTTTAGCAGAGAGGCCTGAAAAGCGGACGTTAAAACCCGGAAATATGGGCTGTCAATGTCTAGACATTTATTCGGCGCAAGGCTGAGATGCTGGTGGAAGCAAACGGCCAGGTCTTGAACCTTCTCGGCCAAAGGGTGTCAAACTGCAACTCCCAGCAATCCATGGCAATCAAAGTGACATCAATCTGCATTAAGTCTACAGTGTAGATGCACCTTGAAACGCCAAGAAGTCTTATATGCTCTGGGCCAGAGTGAAGAGAGAGGGGGCCAGAAGACAGTCCCACCTTGTCTCCTGTACTATGCTAATAATATAATATAATATAATATAATATAATATAATATAATATAATATAATATATTGTATATACATATAATATTTATAATATTATAATGTAATACAATATAATACTAATAAAATATGATATTATAATTATATATTTTATATTACTAATATTTATATTACTAATAATATTACAATATAATGGTACAGTACAATATAGTAATATATAATACTGATATTGTACTATGCTAATTATAATATAATATAATATAATATAATATAATATAATATAATATAATATAATATAATATAATATAATATAATAATATAATATAATATAATATAATATAATATAATATATATTGTGTGTGTGTATATATATATGTGTGTGTGTGGGTGTGTATTGTAAGCCTCAGGGCAAGAAGGGCGACATATAAATGTCGTAAATAATAAATAATATTACAGTATAATGGTACAGTACAATATCTATATAAATAAAAAATTAATGTTCGTTTGTGGGATTAACATAACTCAAAAACCACTGGACGAATTGACACCAAATTTGGACACAAGACACCTAACAACCCAATGTATGTCCTTCACTCAAAAAATTGATTTTTTTCATTTGGGAGTTGTAGTTGCTGGGATTTATAGTTCACCTACAATCAAAGAGCATTTTGAACCCAACCAAATGGAATTGAACCAAACTTAGCACACAGGGCTCCCATGACCAACAGAAAAAACTGGAAGGGTTTGGTGGACATTGACCTTGAGTTTGGGAATTATAGTTCACCCACATCCAGAGAGCACTGTGGACTCAAACAATTATGGATCTGGACCAAACTTGGCACGAATATTCCATATGCCCAAATATGAACACAGATGGAGTTTGGGGAAATAGACCTTGACATTTGGGATTTGTAGTTACTGGGATTTATAGTTCACCTACAATCAAAGAGCATTCTGAACCCCACCAACATGAAATTGAACCAAACTTGCACACACAGAACTCCCATAACCAACAGAAAATACTGGAAGGGTTTGGTGGGCATTGACCTTGAGTTTGGAGTTGTAGTTCACCTACATCCAGAGAGCACTGTGGACTCAAACAATGATGGATCTGGACCAAACTTGGCACAAATTTCATATGCCCAAATATGAACACAGACGGAGTTTGGGGGAAATAGACCTTGACATTTGGGAGTTGTAGTTACTGGGATTTATAGTTCACCTACAATCAAAGAGCATTCTGAACCCCACAAAGGACAGAATTGGGGCAAACTTCCCACACAGAACCCCCATGACCAACAGAAAATACTTAAGGCCATCCTGTCCAACTCCCTTCACCAGGGCAAGAAAATGTAATCAAAGCCCTCCTGACAGAGAGCCATCCAGCCATAGATAGAGATAGATATATGATTCACACAAACACACATATAGTATCATAGATCTGAAAGGGACTCCTAAGGAAGGACAATTCTATGTTGCATGTTCCAGAGTAGGCAAACCAGACAATCTCCACATCAACACTGACAAAGAAACAGCAAGAAATACTGTTTACCCACAAGCATAAAGAAATTACATATATTAGAAACCAACACTTTCTCATTACTTTATTTTCCAGATCACCAGACTGGGCCACAGCAACGAGTGGAAGGGGATGGCTAGTAATATAATACAATATATTGTATAGACATATAATACTTATAATATTATAATGCAATACAATATAATACTAATAAAATATATTATAATTGTATATTTTATATTACATGTAATAAAAATAATAATAATTATATTACAATATAATGGTACAGTACAATATAGTATTATATAATACTGATATTGTACTATGCTAATAATATAATATATTGTCTATCTATCTTTCTATCTATCTATCTATCTATCTATCTATCTATCTATCTTGTAAGCTGCTCTGAGTCCCTTTGGGGCGAGAAGGGTGGCATTTAAATGCCGCAAATAAATAAATAAATATTTTATCCAAACTCTTCATTTTTCAATTGAAGTAAGCCCCAGAGTTTACTTCAATGAGTTAAAGGGAATACATTGATCATGGGAGTTGTATATAGATCCAAAAAGCTATACACTAATATCCTTGTTGTGCCATCTTTACAAAGTTCTGGAGAGACTTATTTTGCATAGAACTTGGGAAAAAATAAATCCAGCCATAATTATACACTATTCTATGCTAATAATATAATATAATAATATTTATAATATTATAATATAATGCAATACAATAATAATAATATAATATTATAATTATATATTTATATTACATGTAATATTACTAATAATATTACAATATAATGGTATAGTACAATATAGTAATATATAATACTGATATTGTACTATGCTAATAATATAATATATTATATGTATATATATCTTGTAAGCCGCTCTGAGTCCCCTTCGGGGTGAGAAGGGCGGCATATAAATGTCGTAAATAAATAAATAATAATAAAAACTCTTCATTTTGCCTCCAACAGACAAAAGTTCTTTCTCCCACCCTGGACATTATTCAACAGATATATAAACCTCACTTGCCTAGTTTCCAACTGCCAGAAGGGACAGAGTTTACTCTATGCTGATGATCGTGCCATCACTGCTCAAGCAGGGACCTCACAACCTCTGAGGATAACTGCCATAGATGCGGGTGAAATGTCAGGAGAGAATGCTTCTGGGAAAACTCATAGCAACCTAAATATATATTGGCGCTGCAGCTGTCATATTCCAATAATACAGGAAGACTAATCCTCCACCTTCCAATGTCAGGGAACAAAAAGCTCTCCATTTCCTCAAAAAAGCAATACAAGTTTAACCAGGCTGTATATCCCCCAACCCCCCCCCTCACAAAAAAACCCATTCCCTTATTACTTTAATGTACTGGTATATTGCTTAATGAAAGTTCTTAATTGTAATTCAATTAATTACATACACAGCGTCCCCAATTACATTTTCCAATGAGACGTGGGCTTTTGGTATAGGTCTAAAGGCACTTAACCAATTTTAATATATTAGGACCAATTTCCCTTGAATACTAATTGCTACCTAATGATGGAAACGGGGAAAGCGGGAACTTTCCAGAAAGCCGGGCGGAAAGTATAAAAGGAAATTAACCGTGAACAGTTGGGGGACCGTTCGCTGTTGGGAAAACAAGGCAGAAGAAAGGAAAGAAGGAAGAACGGAAGGAAGAAAAGAAGGAAGGAAGAGGCATTCCTCGGCCCAAGCTTTCCTCGTCGGCACCAAATATGGAGAGTGTTTTTCTGACAGCGCTAAGCCCTGGGTGAGAAAGGAGACGTCGCATTCTGGGTTTGGGTGAATGCAAAGCTTTTTCTCCTTCTTTTTTTCTCCCTGCGTAATCCCTTGAAATATAAATGATACGCCAGCTCCAAAAAAGAGAGAATGCTGGCATGCGTTGGACTAGCATCTGTTCGACTCGGCGAAGGGAAGATCTGCCTCTGTCTCTGTGTGTGTGTGCATGCTCCTCTGATAAATAAATAACGCTCGCACTGCAAATTCCTCATCTGAATAAATGGCTGGGTTTAATTGCCGCGGCTAAAAGGAGGCCGAAACGTACTCTGCGACTCCATCTCCAGTGCATTCAAAGCAAAGCCAGTCACAACTCTGTGTTGTGTTCGCTGCCTTTGATGGAAGTTGAACCCAGAACCAAGCCAAACCGGTGGCAACCCTAAGTACATGGAAATGCATACTGCTTAGGAGGATGGGCATCGTTTAAGAGTGCTTTAGTTCTGCATAGTGGCAAGGGGTGCGACAAGATTATAGAATCATAGAGTTGGAAGACCTCGTGGGCCATCCAGTCCAACCCCATTCTGCCAAGAAGCAGGAAAATTGCATTCAAAGCACCCCCGACAGATGGCCATCCAGCCTCTGTTTAAAAGCCTCCAAAGAAGGAGCCTCCACCACACTCTGGGGCAGAGTTCCACTGCTGAACAGCTCTCACAGTCAGGAAGTTCTTCCTAATGTTCAGATGGAATATCCTTTCTTGTAGTTTGAAGCTCTAAACAGTTCGGGTCCCGCCTACCTAGCTATTCACACCTAGCTCCAGCAGACAAGAGTCCTTTGTCACACTCTGGTCATTCCACAGATATATAAACCCTTTTTCCTAGTTCCAACAGACCTCACTACCTCTGAGGATGCATGCCATAGATGCAGGCGAAACGTCAGGAGAGAATGTCTCTAGACCAGGCATCCTCAAACTCCAGCTCTTTGGGCCTCCAATTCCCAGAAGCCCTAACAAGCTTGTTCAATTGCCAGGAATTCTGGGAGTTGGAAGCCCAAACAGCTGGAGGGCCACAGTTTGAGGATGCCTCAAATCATATAGCCTGAAAAATCCTACAACAACCCAGTAACAAAAATAATTTTATTGTTGGGGGGTCACCACAACATGAGGAACTGTATTAAGGGGTTGCGGCATTAGGAAAGTCGAGATGCACTGATCTATTGATTGTTTGATGGACGTTTTGTGATGGTTGCATTGCTCTCATTGGGAATCACCACAACATGAGGAAGCGTATTAAGAGGTTGCAGCATTAAGAAGGTTGAGAAACACTGGTTTATGGCAACCTTATGCATTTGAGAGGGTTTTCTCAGGCAAGGAGCAAAGGTCATGTAGGAAAAGGGGCCGAGAAAGCCTCGAAGGCCGAAATCTTGACCTCTTGCTGATACTAAACTGGAACAGACTGGACTGAGTGTTTTTGTTTAAGCAGCTGGGACAGAGGGAGGCTTCTAACAACTTCACGAGAGCAGAGGTTAGGAGAAAAACAGATGAATCATGGCGTGATAGGGTGCAGACGATTTAACCGAAAAGGTATGAAATCAATCACGGGGCTTTTGGAAACTTTTTTTTGGCAGGGATGAGAGCTGTCTTTGGGAGGGAAGGAAAGAAGAACGGAGAGAGGGAAAGAGGAAAAAAAAAAGGGGGGGCGGAAAGGAGACTGGACCCAACTCATCTTCCAATGTTGTTTGCCCAATATAGGGACGTAACTTACGTGAGCTTAAGCATTTCAAGAAAGGGGGGAAAGGGCCAACGTACTATTCTCTCGGACGAGGCAGAACTCCAAAGTGCTTTGGCTCTCCAAGGTACAGTCTAAGTCAACGGGGACGTTGGGCTCGCTCTGCTTCTCCAGCCGGTACTGAGGGCCTGTAAACAGACAATAAATTTACAGGGCTTCTTTCAGCTTCAGGAACATGGGGGAGGGAGGGATGGGGGAGAATCAAAACATTCAAGGATGCCAGCTTGAGACACCAGATCCTGTCTAATATTGGATGCCAAGCAGGCTTAGCGCACTTCAGTACTTGGAATTCCAGGCTCGGTTTTGGCGAAACCACTTCTGAGCATTCCTTGCGTAAGAAAACCCTACGAAATCCATGGGGTTGCCATAAATCCATGAAACCTGAAGTCACATACACACGTTTCTGCATCAGTGGCAAGTTTCTAGCACAGTATTTCTCAACCTTCCCTTAAAATTCTGCTAGCCAAATATATGTTTATGCACTGGCATGTCTTTGTCCCCGGCAGTTCAAAGACATTTATTTATTTATTGAAAACGTTTGTCTCCCGATCTTCTCTACTTCCGTAGAGGGACTCAGACTGGCTAACAGCAAATATTCAGTGCTCACAAACAAACCTTTAAAACAGTGGTTCTCAACCTTCCTAATGCCGCGACCCCTTAATACAGTGGTGACCCCCAACCATAACATTATTTTCGTTGCTACTTCATAACTGTAATGTTACTACTGTTATGAATCATAATGTAAATATCTGATATGCAGGATGGACTTTCATTCACTGGTTAAAATTTGGCACAAATACCCAATACACCCAAATTTGAATACTGGTGGGGTTGGGTGGGATTGATTTTGTCATTTGGGAGTTGTAGTTGCAGGGATTTATAGTTCATCTACAATCACAGAGCATTCTTAACCCCGCCAACAATGGAGTTGAACCAAACTTGGCACACAGAACGCCCATGACCAACAGAAAATACTGGAAGTGTTTGGTTGGCATTGACCTTGAATTTGGGAGTTGTAGTTCACCTACATCCAGAGAGCACTGTGGACTCTAACAATGATGGATCTGGACCAAACTCTACACGGATACTCAATATGCCCAAATATGAACACTGGTGGAGTTTGGGGGAAATAGACCTTGACATCTGGAAGTTGTAGTTACTGGGATTTATAGTTCACCTACAATCAAAGAGCATTCTTAACTCCGCCAACAATGGAGTTGAACCAAACTTGGCACACAGAACGCCCATGACCAACAGAAAATACTGGAAGTGTTTGGTGGGCATTGACCTTGAGTTTTGGAGTTATAGTTCACCTACATCTAGAGAGCACTGTGGACTTCAACAATGATAGGTCTGGACCAGAGGTGGCCCTAGGTAATTTTCAACGGTAAGCAAACAGTATTTTGGCGCCCACCCCCAACCAATCATTGATATATATTTTCTTTTTGTCATGGGAGTTCTGTGTGCCCTATTTGGTTCAATTCCATCATTGGTGGAGTTCAGAATGCTCTTTGATTTTAGGTGAACTATACAGTAACTACAACTCGTATATGTCATGGTCTATTTTCCCCCAAGAGCACCTCAAGAGTGCCCCTGGGCAAAATCAACTATACTGCGAATGCCCACTTTGCGTAATGGTTGAGCCGCCCCTGGTCTGGACCAAACTTGGCACGAATCCTCAATGTGCCCAAATGTGAACACTGGTGGAGTTTAGGGAAAATAGACCTTGACATTTGGGAGCTGTAGTTGCTGGGATTTATAGTTCACCTACAATCAAAGAGCATTCTGAACCGCACCAATGATAGAATTGGACCAACTTCCCACACAGAACCCCATGACCAGCAGAAAATACTGTGTTTTCTAATGGTCCTTGGTGACCCCTCTGACAACCCCTCGTGACCCCCCCCAGGGGTCCCGACCCCCAAGTTGAGAAACCCAGCTTTAAAACATCATATATAAACAATAAGTTAAAAATACATATCAGATAAAAAGCGTAATAAAACATTCGCCAGGATAAAAACAACGTTCAACTCAGTTCGCACACTGTGGTCAATACTTTAGTCAATTACCGGTCTCAGCCATCATGCTAAAAATGCTTTGTTCCACAACCAAGACTTCACTTGCTTCCTAAAGGTCAGGAGGGAAGGGGGCAGATCTAGTTTCATTCGGGAGAGAGTTCCATAGCCGGGGAGCCACCACAGAAAAGGCCCTGTCTCTTGTCCCCACCAAACGCAACTGGGAAGGTGGCGGGACCGAGAGAAGGGCCTGTCCGGAAGATCTTAACGCCCTTGATGGTTTGTAGGGGAGAATACAAAACACTGATATATACCATTAAACAATTGACTTTGCAAGTAGAGAAGTGGGAAGTTGACTTTTCCTTTATTTCTTCTCTTCCTTTTGCTATTGTTTCCACTTTCCCCTCTTCCTTGTTTTGATGAGTAGTTTCAGTATTTGTGTTTGCCTGTTTATGTTACTGTCACAGTGTGTTGATACAAAGGTATCTCCTTTTTTGTTTTGTTATGTTTCTTAATGGAAAGGGGAACTCGCTAAATGCTATCCAAGATCCAGAGAAAGACAAACACTGAGACTGCTGCCCAAAGCGATGGCTGAAAAGGAAACAACCCTAGAATGCCAGGCACGGCTTAAGAGCTGGTGGAAAACGATTCTCTTAAACTTGGAGTTACTATGACGTTTGTTGCCAGCACATTGCTTAATATTGCTTTTCGTCTATTGCAAATACTTTTTGTCAATTGAAAACAGCTTCGAGTAGAACGCTGACCTGAGAGTCGGGGATACGAGGCAGGTTAGGAACGTTTCATTATGAGTAAGTGAAATAAAATAAATGACGGATACGACGGGTTAAAGGCATTTGAGTTGATTATGCCTTAATCAATTAATGGAAAGCCGGTTGAATCAATCTGCTTTCTTGCAAAGCTTTAAGAAGGAGGTTGGGTTTTGTGATTGGAAACAAGCACTGGGCAACTTAGAACCAAGGAAAAGCTAGTGCACAAGAAACGTGTTGCTGTGAGTTTTCTGGGCTGTATGGCCATGTTCCAGAAGCATTCTCTCCTGACGTTTCACCCACATCTATGACAGGCTTCCTCAGAGGTTGTGAGGTCTGTTGGAAATTAGGCAAGTAGGGTTTATATAGTTTGTTGTGAGTTTTCTGTGCTGTCTGTCCATGTTCCAGAAGCATTTTCTCCTGACATTTCACCCACATCTATGGCAGGAATCCTCAGAGGTTGTGAGGTCTGTTGAAAATTAGGCAAGTAGGGTTTATATAGTTTGTTGTGTGTTTTCCAGGCTGTTGTCCATGTTCCAGAAGCATTCACTCCTGACGTTTCACCCACATCTACCACAGGCTTCCTCAGAGGTTGTGAGGTCTGTTGGAAACTAAGAAAATGGGGTTTATATACCTGTGGAATGATGTCCAGGGTGAGAGAAAGAACTCTTGTATGTTTGAGGCAAGTGGGAATGTTTCCATTGGCCACCTTGATTAGCATTGAGTAGTCTTGCAGCTTCAAAGCCTGGCTGCTTCCTTTCTGGAGAAATCCCCTCCCCAATTTTATCTTATGTAATTGAAAAATTTCAATAAAGAGATTTTTTTTTAAAAAAACTGTGGCATAGACACTGTGAACTGGGAAGCCCTGGCCCTTGAGCACTCTAACCGGAGGTCAGCTGTGACCAGCAGTGCTGCGGAATTCAAAGAGGCATGAATGGAGGGCGAAAGAGGAAAACGTGACAAGACGAAAGCATATGGTGTGTTGTCAATGTTTATTGCTTTGTTTTGAGTTCATTTTGTTGTATTGTTGTTGTTGTTTTTACTGATGTATTTGGGCTCGGCCTCTTGTAAGCCGCACCGAGTCCTCTGGGAGATGGTAGCGGAGTATAAACAAAGGTTTATTATTATTATTATATTATTATTATATCAAGCCAACTCTGACTGGGACCACCTTCCACCTGGAAACCGATGCCCTCACTGTGGAAGAACATGGAGATCAAGAATACGGCCCGACAGTCACCAAGACACTACACTTGGAGGACCATCATCCTCGGACTACGAGGGATCATCTAAGTAAGTAAGAAAGTAAATCTGATGAGAAACATTCCCTTTTAGCAGCTGGGAAGGATCATTTCGAAAATTAAGAAGCAACAAGAAGGGATCATGACCTGGGAAGGTCAACAACACGGCCCGAACGCAAAAGGAAGGTCATTTGGCTCCGATCCCGAGAAGTATAACCAAATCCAACCATTCTTGCAACAAAAGGAGAGAAATGCCGGACCCTATTAGAGGAAGCCGTCCCGCCAAGCCAGGCTAAATTGCCACCGGCTTCAGAAAGGCTTTTGAAAGCCGGACCCATCAGTTCTCATTTTCAAAACTTAGCCTTTCAGTCAAGGCGAGAAAAAGGCCCAATTCCAACTTTTATCTCAGCGGCTCGCAAAGTGCTGTTATCTCGGGCTGATGTCTGGAGCTCTATCTCTCTTTCTGCTGACAAGCCGAGACGAGAGAGATAAGATTGGGAACGAATCTCCCTTCTCCAAGTAAATAAATAATCAATACTCATCTAAATGTAAATGAGAAAGTATCCCCCTCTGATAACAGAGGCTCTTATCAAAGAGCCAATTTTCCGACAGACACTCGGCCGAACGGCCATCGCTCTGCCGGGGCTCTAATGGCGAAAAATGGTCACTAAATTGAACCGATCACCAGAGATCAACTAAGTTCGGGCCTCGGCCACTTTCCGCCGGGGCCCCAATGTTTGGGAATGCAATTCTGGCCCCATTAACTTTCGATAGCAATGAAGAATGCACAGGTCAAGGGAGATGAAGCCACGGGAATAAACAAACCCAGACCTGAAAAGAAGAAAAAAGAAAAAGAAAACAAGAGAAGAAAACACACTCGATGGTTTGAAAGCCCGGGAGAAAGAGACAGCAGTAAGATCGGCCAGAGAAAAAGCAGGTTGGAATGAAATTGTGGAATTGTTGTGAGTTTTCCAAGCTGTATGGCCATGTTCCAGAAGCATTCTCTCCTGACATTTTGCCCACATCTATGGCAGGCATCCTCAGAGGTTGTGCAGTCTGTTGGAAACTAGGAAAATTGGGTTTATATAAATTATATATAAAATCT